CTTCACTTTTTTCTTTAATGAGTTCGTATGTTGGTGCGGAGAATGGCAAAGCTCACTAATGATGCCGACTATGATGACGGCGAAATATTTGAGAATGTATCAAGTCCACTGTCTGAAGCTGGGAAGCATGACAACTACTATGGCAGACGACTTTGGACTAGGTGCGTTCTACATAGTCTCCCTGTAAACAAGACCAAGTTGCAACAACAAGGTCAATCCACTTCTAAAATGTTTTGTTGAGACTTTCTGCTGAATTCGTATGGCCTCATCACACATGCTATTCACCCCGACCCCCTCTCTTTCGATCGGCTAGTCCTACTCAGACCTACAATCCGGGTCCCCTCATGGCCCAGAGGCCACAACATCTTGGTCTTCATATCTTCAAGAAAATTAACCCTTTTTTATATGAGGTGATGCATGAGTGGAGGTCGAATTCTCCCACAATAGCATAAGTATGCTTTAGGTCCGTAGTGAATTCAATATAGTCTTTCTTGACAAAAGTTATTCTTATCCAGAGTGAACTGCAGTTTCAACCTCGCCCAGGTCTCATTAGCACTCATAGTTGGACATAGACCCGGATAGTGCCGTATATACTCTCTAAACGTTAATAATTACATACTGTCCCACTTTTGGTGCTTATGACACCTAGGCGAGATCGAAATTGCAGTCGACTCACTCATATCATTAAGTCAACTACCATTCCTTCACCACCTTGAAGGAAATACATTTAATACAGCTCTTATATATCTACTTTAAGTCTCAAAAACTAGTTATGAAACGGAAAAAAGGCACCGTATCAGTGTTTTTTTATTGAAAAATTGCTTTTGAGATAAGAATAAACTTTTGTTATATCCTGTTGATTGCATAGTGTATTTTACTTAAGAAAACCGGCAATTGGCTACCTTTTTTGCTTTTATTTAATTTTGAAATTTGAGCAGATTGCCTTGGCTATAAGCTTTTATTATTGCTTCATTTCAGATTAGATCATCTGGACTCGTAAAACTTGACGCATCTCAGGTGAGGTGTTATTATTTATATTAAGTAAATATTCTTAAGGCACATTTTTCTCACGGGTTAAATCTTTACTGAATGTTTTCGTATATGGGCAGGTGACAGTTAACTCTTTAGGCACAAAGTTTAGCCCTTCTCATACATAAAAAGAGTAAAGCATAAATTGATTATGTGGCCGCCTGCATTTCTGCATTATCCTTTCATGATGTATTCTTGATTTAGCCATATTTTGCTATCTTCCAACATCGCTACTCCATACATTGCTACCTTATGTATGCCTTTTCCTTCTGGCTAGTTTGTTTGTTGCATTTTAGTACACCTTTACGAGTCTTATGCGTAATGGCTACTATGACTCTCTTTACTGTGGGGCATAACTTTACAGAATATTTAATGTAATGAGATGTATTCACCCTATTTCGTGTAAGGTGATGAAGGACTGGTAGTAGAATTTT